TTTTTTTTTTTTTTTTTTTTTTTTAAAGCAAAAGGCAGAGATCCGAAATTAGTATCGTTAGAATACACGATGACTTTTCACGTACATTTTCATGAAACTTTGTAAAACAAATTTTATTTACCGTAGGGACGAAGATATTCATTGATTCATTATTATACAAATTTTAAGGTAGATATAAAAGTACGTGGAATTTTATTTTTCAACGAGTTATCGATGATGTTACTGAAAATTAGGATTGATCTCGCCACTGAATTATTGATAACTGACTACACCAGACTCTTATAAACCTTGAATTTTAAAAGTGTTCTACTTGATTAAGGTCAGGCAAGGCAAAGATAGTATGCAAATCGGTAGTATTAGGCGTTCGAAAAACCGGTACTATATAACGCAGAAATTCTCAAGGATGTTGATAATTTAAACGACGAGTTTCTTATTTCCTTTTTTTCCAAAAGTATTGCCGTTCAGAATGATCCATGTTTACCGGTTGAGAATGTCGCAAGTCATTTTTGTAAATTATTGGCAGTTTCTTCAGTAGAATGTTATTAAAGATAAATCTGTTTTGAAAAAATCGGGAAGGAAGCTTTCTGAGCGTGCAATCAAAGAAACGAAACTTCTCGAACGAGATGAGATCAACGATTTTCCGTAATTTTTCGAAATGTATAATCTTTTTAGAAGATTATTGCTAATTTGACACAGAAACTGCAAATCTCTGCTTGCTATTTGGTGGATAGATCGTAGGCTGAATCTCAAGGTTGAAATACATTTTCCTAATCAATGATGTAATACATTTAACATGGATTCTCAAGTACGACCAGCGTTTCTAATCTAAATAACTCGTGGGTGAGCAAATAAATACTTTCTTCTTGACGCGCGACAACGTAGAAAACTGGCAGAGATATGTGCAGAATGATATAACGAACGTTCTATGATTTTATAATTATCTAATTAAATAATCCAAGTATAATCCGGGCATCAAACAAAATCCTTCCTTTCTATCATATTCTATCCTAGGATGAACAAAATTGAAAATATTAGAAAATTATAGAATTTAATTTCTTTTCTTTCTTTCTTTCTTTTTTCTTTTTTTTTTTTTTGTTGAATAGGCACGGTCCGAGGAGCATCTGGCGCAAGAACAGGCATGGCTGAGTTCCGAAAGAATTTGGCTATTGCACCGAGGTGGATTTACTCCTGCGACGAAGTGTGGTCCAGCAGATCCGGACACAGGAAAGCTAAGGATTCGTTTGACCACTTCCGGCGAGGAACTTCTTGTCGACGAAGAGGATGTTGAAAAGGTATCAGTTCATTACATTTATTTAACATCAGATATAGATTTGATATTAAAATGTTTAATATTATATGTAAATAATTTTCATGCAAATTTTTATTTTTCCCGGAAAAATAAAGCAGAATATTTCTAAATATTCTGATAATGAGTGCCTCAGTCCGAATTTTTTTTTTTTAATTGCACATTCTTGCATGTTTATATTTGCCATAAATGTACAAGCATCCGCAGTTTAGTTGTTACGATGATTCGTAACGTAGAAGCGCGATCATTTAACAAGTAGGTTAAATCAAACCAATCATTTATTCTTTTTTCTTTTTTCTTGCAGGCCAATCCCCCCCAGTTTGACAAGGCCGAGGAGCTCTCGCAATTACGTTTCCTCAATGAATCTTCTGTTCTCCACTCACTGAGGCAACGTTACGCCAGTAATTTAATACACACTTACGCGGGAGATAGCATGATCATTATCAATCCGGTGGCGCCATTGGCCATTTACTCAGAAAAGGCAAGTGACGTTTACGCGTTGGTTTATTCCCTTCTACCATTTAGCGAAATTGCTTTATGGTACAACACGAAATGAGAATAAATTGAACATTTTTTTGCTTTTAATCCTTAATGGCATTCCTAGTTGAGATTTGTTAGACACTTGTTTCAAACTATCCTTCGAATGAAATTTTTGCTAAACTACATTATTTCTCTCGTTTCTCAGGTGGCGCATATGTTCAGAGGATGCAAGAGCGAGGATATGCCACCCCATATTTACGCGATGGCGCAAGCAGCTTACAGAGGGATGTTAGCAACTCGAAGAGATCATTCCTTAGTTTTCCTTGGCCGTAGCGGATCAGGCAAAACAACAAACTTTAAACATGCTCTTCATTATCTTGTGTTGGCTGCAGGCACAGTTAACAAGGTAGGCCAATCTTTTATAGTTTAACAAGTGGCCAATGTATCTTTGTTAGAAGGAAGGTGGGAAACTTGGTGGTGGGTACTTTTAGTGAAAAAAAATTCCATTTTTTTCCAATTATTTTCTGTCTCTTTTGATTGAAGATTCTGACTATTGAGAAACTCAACGCCCTATTCACAGTCCTGGAGGCGTTTGGAAACAGTAGAACACACATGAATTCCAATGCTACGCGTTTTACACAGCTCTTCAGTCTGGACTTTGATCAATCAGGGCAAATAGCGTCGGCTTCTTTGCAGGTAATACAATTATACTAATCGTTTTATACAACTGTATTTTATTTCATGAAATACAAATAAAGTCAATAATATATTTCATTTCGTCGTCACTGTAAAATTATAAAATTACTTGGTTCATGTAGTTGTTTTTATGTCATATTTCTTTGAAAACTAAAATTTAAGTTCTATGAAAGATGGAGAATTCTTTTACTGTGTTAATGCTATGGCTTCGGAGTGTAACGCCCTTAATAAAGAGCACAATCGATCGGGCGAACTCCCTCTGAAAAGTGGAACATATCAAAGGAACTTGACAAATCATTTTTTACCATTTTATTTTGCAATACGTCTTACAATAA